CCCCCGGTGTTTGCCATCGGGGTTAGGTTTTCGTCGCTTGGCAGCAATGTTGTAAAACAAGCCGATCACTTCGTGAGCCCAGCAACCAGGTTACCGTTTTTTGTTGGCCTTTTTTTTTTTTGCGGTAACCATGAATGGTGGTCGAGCAGATTATGTTGTGCGGGGTCCAGAACCCTTACTCCGCGCAAGGGGGATGATCGCACCACGTTGTGTTAAAATGGTCAAGCACCGTCGAGGCTGTTACACTGTGCTTACAACTGTCTCTGGAAGTGAAAGCACCAGAAAATAAAGTACGTCATACGCAGCTGTCATCCGTACGCAAGGAAGTAAGCACAAGATGCCGAACACCCTTAGCAGGATGCAGCGCACCCTTCATGCGACTCGCCGAATACCTCACGGCGCTTCGCGCTTGGTGATGTGAGAGCCTGGCCCGGTGAGACCCCGGCGTGCTCCGTCCCGGCTTTGTACGGATGCGAGGTCAATGATCTAACGACTACGGCATGCACGACTATGAGCACACACCCCCTCCCGACAGCATACCTTCGACGCCTCCCCCGCAGGAAGACCCAGCGCTTTCACCAGAGCCTCCTTGTTGTCCCACATCTTGTGGTAGTTCACGCACACCACGGGGTAGTTGCGCCGCTCTTTTTTTATTGCGCCGCTCGCGCCGGCGCCGGCGCCGGCTACGGTGGCGGGGTTGCAGTAGTTGTCGTAGAAGGCCTCCATGTGCAGACGGTCTCCGCTCTCCTCGGCGTAGCTGCAACACGAGCACGGTCGACGGGCGAAAAAAACACGCGGGGGGGGGACTTTCTGTTGCAGGACCAGGTGAACACAAGTAAATCAAGTTTTAAGAAAGAGCAATCGAACTGTGTTGTCGTTGTTGGGAAACGTGTCACGGGAGTACGGCGACCGAGAAGAAAGCGGCAGAACCCGTAACCCGAACACTCCGTGGAAGCTACTGGAGGTGTTCACACGGAGAATCTTTACGAGGTTCCAGGATACTGTAGAGAGAGAGAGAGAGAGAGAGAGAGAGAGAGAGAGAGAGAGAGAGAGCGGATCGGGGAGAGGGCGAGAACATACACGATAATGCGTAGACCTAAGGATACCGCAATATGTCAATTTTAACGGGGTCGGGGTGGGGGATTCGTGCATGCCGTAGTCGTTAGACCATTGACCTCGCATCCGTACAAAGCCGGGACGGAGCACGCCGGGGTCTCACCGGACCAGGCTCTCACATCACCAAGCGCGAAGCGCCGTGAGGTATTCGGCGAGTCGCATGAAGGGTGCGCTGCATCCTGCTAAGGGTGTTCGGCATCTTGTGCTTACTTCCTTGCGTACGGATGACAGCTGCGTATGACTTAATTTATTTTCTGGTGCTTTCACTTCCGGAGACAGTTACAAGCACTGTGTAACTGCCTCGAGGATACTTGACCATTTCAACACAACGTGGTGCGATCATCCCCTTTGCGCGGAGTGAGGGTTCTCCACCCCGCACAACATGATCTACTCGACCACCATTCACGGTTACCGAAAAAAAAAAACAGAGGTAAAAAAAAACGGTAACCTGGTTGCCGAGGTCACGCTGTGAATGGCTTGTTTTACAATGTCGTTGCCAAGCGACGAAAACCCAAACCCCAATGGCAATCACCGGGGGGCAAGGTTGGGGTGGGGGGGGGGGAAGGGG